ATTTCAAATGTAGTATTTTAAAAATGATAAGTTTTAAACACATTTTCAACGTTGCACCAAATGACATCCAAAACTGTGGCATCTGTACTTCTTGTGACAAAGGAGTCATCAACAAAAACTAAGAGCAAATCTGAATCTTGTTTCCACTTTACAGTCCTGCAGGGTCCTCAGAGTGATGTCATTATATGACACATGAGGAAAGATCTCACATTATTGTTCAAACTGGACCTTTAAATTTCCTTTTACCAAATGACATTGAAAAAATGCTAAAGAATTTTATGGACAACTTTATTTAAGACATTAAAAGTAGTTCTTTTGTGTTAATTTTGAAAATACTCTTGTATGTTCATGCCAAGGCTTGTAAAATTATGCCATAGAGAAAAGTTTATGATTTTGTCAATTTTTATAATTTGTGCAAGCAAATTGGTTTCTTCTTCCAAATGTGTACTGGTACAACTAAAGTGATATAAAAGAAATACATTTAAACAGAATGACCCTATAAGAGAGTACTACAGCTGCACAAGTCAAAACATGTCTATAGAAGGAACAGCTTTACACAGTCTGTAATGTGTCAGTTATATATATAATATATATTATAATGCAATGCAAGCTACTAAGATTAAAAAATGCAGTATAAACTTGAAGTATCTTTTTAAATACTGTTTGTTTATAAAGCAGCAGCGCCCTCTGGTGGCAAACAGAGGACATATGCTTGACTTAGAGATTTACAGTTTTACATTTTGTTTGTCTTTCTTTATGTTAAATACAGTACACCACATGGCCTGGTTATTCAAAGACATTTTCACATTACAATGGAACCAGGAAAGAATTATATTTCTCTTCTCATTTACCCTTCTCAGTACAATTAGGTGTCCACACAGGTGTCCATTATTCCAGCTATTTACTTTTAGCAGATCATACTGTGATTGGTCAGAAGTTGACATTTTGAAAGACATATAGGCAGTATTTACATTTATTATATTTGTGTAGACAAAATGGTCTATAACTTCAGGATACTCTGCATTTTTAACAATTCACATTTCTCTTATGTCTTGTACGCAGGGAGCAAGAGAACATACAGACCCCACTGACAGGTATTGTGAGATGAATGACTTGGGAATTGAACCTGCAGTACTTCCCACCAGTTTGTATCCTACAAACCTGTTGACCAGTGCTAAACCGCTTATACCCTGAGGGTAGATCAAACACTCAAAATATTACAAAATACATTACTTTTAATTTATATAAATATTCTAAAAGCTTGATAAATTGAAAGTAAAATGAACATCCCATGAGCAAACAATTACATATTTGAGAACCACTCACCTTTGCAAATCAAATAAATCAGTTACTAACCTTTGGCTCTTGTTTAAACAATGACATAAGACAAATAAACAATATTATACAATAGGACAAAATCTCCATGTTTTTCAGTCCCTGTCATTATAGTGTAATGTTTGTTTGTTTTTATTAACAAAAAAATCTTCACTGGTTTTAAGTGGTTTCCAGTAGTCCAAAGATATAATTCACTTCCTTCCTTCCTTCCTTCCTTCCTATGCATTCCAAGCATCTTAGAGGCCAGAGCGGAGTTACCGTGATGTTTGTTGTCATAACAACTAGCATGAGAACCACATACATACAGGTCATACAGGTGACACCAGGCCACATTATATGTTATATGTTATATAACATTGTTACCTTGTTTCATTCACATGCTTTTCACATTCACATGCTCATTTGGATAATTTCAGCCCTGGAACTTACAATGTCTAGTAAACTACAGGTAAAAGGTACCTGTTAACTTGAAAACTATTACTTCATGACATCACAAGGTAGAACAGAGCATGCTGAACTTTGGAGATGTAAGCAGACAAATAATGAAAGATCATTCATACATGTCTGAATGAAACAAAACACATCTCCATGTTTGTTTTTGATTAGGTAAGAACATTATAACATGGGTTAAAGCTCACAAGAATCAGTTTTGTGTAATATAGGACCTTTAGTCAATGGAAACACCTGTAATTGTATAAATGTGACACTGATATGTGAAACATATCAGTGTGAAACATATCAGTGATATGTGAAACATATCAGTGTCCATAAAAACAGATAACATATTTTATTATTATTATTATTATTATTATTATTATTATTAGGAAGTATTAGAACAAAATATGTTAAGAACCCTGTCTTAAAATAATTATTGCATTTGCAGACGTCCAAGCAGATCCTGTTTTACCCACAAGATGGCGCCATTCATTACAGCATAGCCCAGTTGCTCCAGTTAAAAAAACACTAGTCTCCTCTTAAAATGAATCCTGATCAGCGGGTGATGCAACTGAGGCCCAGAGTTGAGTGGAGGCAGCCAGTAGGGGAATTATTTCACGCTGGATGACAGACCACCAGCATCCATCAAAAACTTCATGAAACGCTGCTGCCTGTTCGGATACATCCTCTCCACTGTCTTACTCAAATACGAGCTCTTTTAGGCCCACTACTGTTGGCAGCATTCCATGTAAAGCAGGTCTCTCTTCTGTGTAAAGTGCTGCAGGCTCAGTCTCCTTGAGCCTGGCAGTTGACTTGACATAATGACTTCAGCCATTCTTTTCAAAGGGGGAGAAGGTAGGTACTTCAAAATGGTGTTAAATATGTAGATTTAAAGGCACTGTATCATATTTTTACTATCTTAAAAACAGATCTAGTTAGATGAATAGATAGGTTGATTATTTCATAAATAAAGTCATACATAAGACACTTTAAAAACAGCTGTAGAGGTAGACCGATATATGGGGTGGCCAGTAGATCAGGCTGATTTTGATTTTGCTTTGAGTGATCTGCTGCCTAAAAAAACATGCAAAGGTTTATTTGAACACTTAACTAAACATATCTGCTCAACTGTCTTAAAGGTTTATACTTAAATAAAAGGCAGAGAATGTGTTGGTAATAAAATTGTATTACGTAATTTGAGGAAAATAATCAAAAACCCCATATATCATAAATCTGCCCAAAAATATCAGAGTTTAATGGCAATGGAAAAAAAAAAAGTCAATTTCTACAGCTATGTGGCATGAGCTCATCTGTTGGAGTTCATACTAAATAGTTTGCAGTGGTCCAAACATATTATTCACTTACCTTATGCATTCCAAGCATCTAATTATTCACTATGATGAGTGAGCGGAGTTACTGTGACACAGTTTTGTTCTCATGGTAATGCTAACAACAACTATCATGATAATCATATAATCCCAGATAATAAAACACTTATTGAAATGCAAACAGCACACATACATATTTTGACCTCAAGAGCTGCTTATATATATCTGCACCGGAGCAAGACAAATTTTTGCTAAAAACAAATCACGTATAGTAAGTATACTTGAATCTGGAGTTGGACCATAGACCATGAAAAACCTCTGCCCTAACGTGAAACGATCCACATGCTCTAATTTGCATCACAGGTCTTTCAAATGAGGGGTATCTCCTCTCATAATATTAAGAATAGAGATCAACCAACATGTTTTTTTTTTGTTGTTTTTTTTGTTTTTTCATGACCAATGTATTTAGTAATTGTTTAGAATCCAGAGCAGTAGATGACTAATAAGCTGCTGAGATGTTTTGCACGATATTTAGGGGGTGTTTTGATTTTTTTCCCCCAGTTGTTTGATTGGAATTGGGTACAAATTCACCCACTACCCTGTTTCATTACTAACTGTTTAAGAGAGGTATGAAGTCACATTTTGTACAGTATCTTCTTTGTTGTAAATCATTCAAATGAAACTTTACAGCTAACTAACGAGCTGGAGATTTAAGGCTCATAGCCGATACACTAAAAAATGCAACTATCAGCCCGATATATCTCTAATTCAGAAGAAAATCTATAACTTCTTTTACCTGATATAAATAAGTTTGGTGCTCCTCACTGTTTCTCAGTCCTCTGTGTTGTTTTTCACTCACTTTTTTTATCTAAGTCGTCGTGTTTGGATTGACCCAAACTGAAAATGTGTCTCTCTGATTGGTGAATCTACCTGTCAATCTTACCCTCTGGAAGTTTTCTCTTGTCTTGTGGAAGTTTGTGGTTCTGGCTGACCAGGTAAATGATTATTTGTGTGGAGATTTTCTCTTTGTTATCTTTGTAAACAAGCTGGTGCCACTACTAGGCTTAGTTATAGGTCAGATCTACGGAAATGCAATGCCACTCACAAAACTGCCACCAGACTGTACAAACATGAGGATTTTTTTTTTCCTCATGTGTTACATTTGCCTTTTAATAAAAAGGTTTGCTTTGCCGAGTATCTCCTCTTGAGAAGCTATAGTACTAAAAAGCAGTGTTGATGTGACAGCAAAAATTAAATAAATAAAAAATTTGAAACCAATATTACGAACTGAATGGCGTAATTGATTAATTAAAAGTTATTGTCTTAATTATAGTCTGTAGTCGTGTCTTGTTCTTGTGGGCCAAATCTCGTGACATGTCTCTTCTTGTAGTAGCAATGCATACTTATGATGGTATTTTTGAGCAATAAAAACACTCCAGGCAAAGCAATAACATTGCCGTGGAGACGACCAGGCGGCATTCTCTCCTCCAGAGTAGCTACACAGTGCACCTTTAAAGAATTCACTGACGCATATGTAATAATATGAAGCTATGTGCTGTTGGACGTGCAGTTTCATGTCGGCAGTTTTATATGTATTTAGAAAACCAGGTGTGTTTTATTGTTCATCACTAATTTGGACAGTATATTGAAAAACAACACACAATGGCATATGTCAAGGCAACAGTTTGAAATTAAGTATCAGTAAAGGGAAAATTTGAAGTGAAGTGGTCTTTGCTTTGGGAAGGAGTTTCATAATGGTTTTCAATAGATCCTGCAATTTTTAATATAGTTATAATATAATAACCTTCTTTTGGACTGGCTTTAGCTCAGTGCAGTAGCGCCCTGCAGGGCCATTTAACCTTCACATTTCAAACTTGTCAATTCTCAAGGCATGAAAGAATCTCTTCAGGTTATATGCATTATTTTGCCCTACTGGCTTTACTAGACTGTACAGTAAACATGTGAAAAGAGAATTTAGATTAGGGAAAGCCATTCTGTCTGGTGTATGTGCTGTGACAGTGCAGTCAGGACTGATGTACACTCTTTAGCTTACACTTGCACTTGATTTATTGGACGTCACTTGCAATTATTAGTCCATAAGAATCCCAACTTTTATGTTATGAAGGTGACCATCTATCTAAAGACAAGTCCTGGTATGTTAAATACATTGACTGTTCTTTGAAGGCTTCACACATAAGTGCAGATGCAGATGAGTCACATTGTTGTCTGTCATTTGGGTGTTGCCATGTGTTAATCTGTGGCGCTTTCATGGAACTCATGCAGCCAATAAACGACGCTTTCACTTTACGCCCTCAGCATATTCAACTGTCACTATATTTGTTATTAAGTTGTAAAAATCACAGTTTCCCAGGTTCTAAACTAGGTCAAATTATTCTTGCAAAAAGTTTGACCATTTCTGAGCTGAAGTAATTCAAATTATTTTAGTGAGTATAGAGTATAAAAACACAGTGGAGCACTTCCTGTTTTACCACATGACATTACAAAGTGTTTTCTATTTGGGAAAAGAACACAGCCTACCATATTTTCCCAAGAAGGTCTGGCTGCAGACACATGGGGAAAGTGGAGCTCCACTCCAGACCGGAAACACGTGACCTCCACCGAAGACGTCATCTCTACTTTTATGTAGACCTATGGGGGGACGAAACGATTTATTTTGACCGCAATTAAATGTTTATTAAATAAGATTGTTTTTACGTTATGGAATTTGTTCGCACATACAAACACAGAGCAAAACGACCATCTGGAAGACGGAGAAAACATGTGAGTAACACGCTTTTAACTTTAGGAAATCATTACTAACACAACTGTAAATGTAAAATACAGCCATAACTCCCACAAAACTGTCAAATAAGTTTATTTTTAACTGCGTGAACCTCGGAGATTTGAGCTAAAAGTTTGATTAGTAATCTGCAGCTAACGCGATGAAAAGTCAGCTCAAACTTTCATATTTGGACAGATTTCCATCAAACACTAATCATGTTTTTACTGTTAGGGGTAAAGAAGCCCACGGAGTGATTTAATGAAGCTACGAGGAGAAAACTTGTAAACACTTGGCCAGTATAAGTGTAAGTGCGGTAAGATAAAAACACGCATTATTTCATGCATTAAACATAAAAGACACAGTTTTTTATGTTTAATGTATAAAACATTAAATATATCAAAGCTTATATTTACTTATATTCATGTAACATAAACCTCCAACGTGTGCATTTCATTCTGGGAATACATTATCTGCTTTTAACAATCCGTGCATGTTTGTAAAGTGAAAAGTAAAGAATCCTGCCTGGACAGGTCAGATATAAGGTGGACATAAGGCTCATTTAACAGATTTTGCAGACACTGTTGTAGATACTAGACACCTGTGTCTGTTTGGCCTATCACATCTAATATCATAACAGTGAGTAAACTGTTTGATATTCATGTTCTTTTCTCATCTGCAGCTTCCTGTATGAGAACACAACACACTGCTGGGGCCACAGAAATGTTGGCTGATGAGACGCTCATGATTCATGAAATGGGTCAAATGCAGATGACAAAGAAAAGTCAACAGCAGGAGGTGCTGACCCAGACTTCTGCCTCTGTTTAGGTCTGGGACATGTTACATTGAAAACTCCAATAATAATAAATGAATCAGGCTCATGTTGAAATCATTATTTAATTTTCTGAAAATATACATTTCTCAAATGTGTGATATTTAGCTGTTTGGATTTATGTAATAGTTTTCTTAATGTGTGTGTCATTACAGGTTTTCACTCTGCAGACAGAAATTTCAACCAGTCAGACTTAAGGCCCATTCTGCTCTTCCTCCTCCAGAAAACGAGAGATATGTCAGACTGAATGATCCAAGTACACTGGGTCATGTCTCCACTGTCCATGTCCAGACTCACAGAGGAGGAGGAGGAGGTCCAGACTGTAGACCTGTGGGGCCTCTGGTTGCATCAGGCCTTCCTCCTGCACATTCTGTTTGCTGCTGTTCCTAATGTGTCCTAATAGAGATGTGTCCATAAAGATTAGGTTTAACGTTTTATTTCCTCCAGAAGTGAAACAGTAAAATGGTGGTTTCTGTTCGTCTTAGCTGAAGAGCACCTAAACAGCTTTATCACTGAGGAAGTGTCCCATGATAAATGTGGCCTTATATGATCTTAACAAGTGTATGAGACAAACTAGTCATATAAGTTACTCATAATAAGTTTTTCTGAATGTTTTTCAGTCTGTACTGATGTTTGATTCATGATGAAATGTGCTATTTACTTTCTGTCTCTTTTGAAAGTAACTAATTACATGTACTATAAGAATGTACTATTGTACTGCAGTTAAGCAGTGGTATTCCACCTGATCATATTTTGGAATTTTTTTTTCTGCTTCAGCAAAATGGGAACAACTCTTTGAGAGTACACTGACATACAGCTATTTGTACTCACCTATTAATGCAGAGTGTGTTTGTGTAATGGGTTTAATGTTTGACTAGTCACATTATGATAAAGTATTTACAGTATTTATAATCCTTTGATTGTTTAATAAACCATCTTTTCTCAAAGCAGAGACGTCTTTCTTTATAAACTGACTTAAATACATCCCCGGTATAAATGTAATCCTTTATCAATTTAAAAATACTTTATTAATAATTAATAATCTCATCAGTTTTTGAAACTTTAAGGCAATTTAGTTTATTTTAGATGTATCCCAGAAATATCGCCGTTTTGTTTTGCAAAAGTTAAACATAAGTTATCGTTTTTAGCCATAAGATTTGGATGAGAATTATTAGAATAACTTGGTCTGAAATTCCAACAGTTTGATTACCCGTGCGTCATCTGCGTGGTACGTGTTGTTAGCATTAGCATTAGCAAAGTGTCTCGGTTGCTAGGCGACGGGGCGCCTCCGTGGGCTACACCTGTCACATTTCAGCTACAGTGAAGGCCACAGCTTTCACAACCTTCGAAAGCTGCCGCCCTGGAACTGGGACACGGCTAATATGGCTAATACGAATAAAAAATAAAAGTCTATCGTAGATATGACGTATTTCCGGTGGAGGTCACGTGTTTCCGGTCTGGAGTGGAGCTCCACTTTCCCCATGTGTCTGCAGCCAGACCCCTCTCTATTTTCCGGGTGATTAGGCGCTCCGGGTTATAAGACGCACTGTCGTTTTCCCGAACTTTTTTCACATATAAACCGCACCGAAGTATAAGGCGCGTTAAACGAAACACAACAGTTAGGTAAATCAGTCAAACTTTATTTAACGCGTTTACTCGTTACGTTAACTCTCAACTTTGTTCATTTGTAACACGTAAAAAACAAAAAAACTGTCTGAGACCGATAAATTGTCAGCGTATTCACAATAACTCATAATTGTTCGGTTATAACTAAAAATAACACATTAGGGCGTTTTCACAACGCTAGTTCGATTATTTGGTCCGCACCAGGCAATAAAATTGTGATTATGTAGCAAATACACTCCAGTGTGGTCCGCTTTCACACCGGCAAATTGACGTGTCTCTGTTTCCCGGGAAAACAGAGATCCCTCCAGTTATCAACACCGATGTTCCTGTTAATACCACAGGCCGTCCTCATCTCAAATTATCATCATGAACTCATAAAACAGCAACATGTAGAACTTTGTACAAACTCACCTCATCAGCCCAGAGTTCGGGTAACAGCAGCAGCCAACAGCGCTCACAGTAGCGCGCAGCTCCTCAGGACGGGGCTTAGGTCTGGTCCTTGGTCTTCTGTCCTCCTACAAGCGCGTTGGTCAGATGGTCCGGAGGCTCCATCCTCCTTGTGCTGGTTCCAAACGGTGGCGAGAAAGACCAGTGCTTGATGGACTGAGTCCGAGCGGGTACGTTCCGTCGTCTGCGCGCTGTTTCCGTGCGGGAAAAGCAAGAATGCGCTGTGGACTACAGGTCCGGGTGGGCTGCTCTGGTCCTCCGCGCTCAAGAACCACGGCTGGTTCTGAGGTGGTGCAGCATCCGGACAGAAGCATGAGTCCAGTTTGGTTTGTTATATGTTGTTCTGAGTGTCCGTCCTCCGCGCATTTGGTTCTTCCCGGGGAAAGCGCTTCCTCAGGTCGAGGATCCCCGCTCCAGCTCCTCTGAGCCCAGCCTGAAACGGAGCTGTCCCCGCTGGTTCGGGACTGTGGTTTGGATCTAGTCTGACTGTATTTCTCACACTAGGCTAAAAGCAGGGACTTTTTAAAGTTGTATCAATTGAATAGGCTATTGCCATAAAATTATTTAAAACCCAAAATAACAAATGCTGGTTGGTACATGATCACAGGGAACACCGGGACCTCTCTGTGCGTGCAGGTCCTGAACAGACGTACACACCCCCAATTTTGACTCACTCTGGAGCCACATGTTCGCACACTGGTACTTGCTCTGATCTTCGTGTATTACATTCTCTGTATTGGCCATTGTTGGTCAAATAATTCGAAAATGAATCACGGCTGCGTCTGGACAACAATCTGTTACTGCACTGGAGTCGCAGATCAATAGGGATGGAGATGTGTGGAAAAGGCCATCCGGTCTCTTAAGGTAAACTTCTCGCAGCCAGTCGCTCATCTTTTCCTCGTCCACAGGAAACATGAGGAATCACAGTACGTATTACTCCGCGATGCTCCTGACTACGGTAGCCGTAATGCTGCAACTGGTGCGGCTTTGTCGTTTACTGAAGTTGTACTGGAACACTCGCGTAAATTCATATAAAAGGCGCTCCGGATTATAAGGCGCGCAGTCATTTTTGGAGGCTTAAGACCGCGCCTAATCGCCCAGAAAATACAGTAAATATGCAGTATTTGTGTGTTAAACATGTGTGAATGAAACACAATTCCAAGTATGTTTTTGATAAGGAAGCAACATAATATAGATCAGAAAATAATGATATTATGGGCCCTTGAAAATAGTTGGTTTCCATTTGCCCATTTAGAGTTACCATCTCAAGCAGTGTGTCTTTGGATGTTTGGGGAAGGTTCACAGAGAGAGGACCATTTACCTATGTAAATCCTTGTTTTGCTCATTGTGAATCACAATAAAAAAGTCCACTCACTTCCTGTTCAAAACTGTACAACTGCTGGACCCCATCTCTTAGTGACATTTGAAATTTCATACTTATTTTTATTGTTGAAAATGGCTACATGGCATTTTTTGATTCTGGGATCAGATTTTTTTGAAAAATAGTTAAATATGGCATAGTGGGAGGAGTTCAGTGTTTGGCGAAAAAAGGCTTTTTCAGAGCACTCAGCCTGACTCAGTGTAAATTCAACTTGAAGTAAGTATATTGTGAAGGGACACCATTAAAATGTGGTTTAAAGCTCATGAATGTTGATTTAAACCTGGCAGTACCTGGCAGCAGGTACTATTATGTGAAAGAATGAAAAAGTAGGTTGTATTGATGGTGTGACACAGAAATGTTGAAAAACAGGTTTCAGTCCGAGCTTGACATTGTAGACAGTCTAAGAGACCCTTTCACAAAGCAGAGCAAACAAGTCCCTACATCACCTCTGCATCTACATTACAGGTTAGAGGGTAAGATAAACATGGTGTAAATGACACACCTGCTCAGGTCCCCAAAAACCTTTTCAGAGCTGTATACATGTCATATTGTGCATTGTGTGAGCCACTACTGAGGCTACATGAGATACAGGAGATGGTGACATCTGATGATGATATGAGACACAAGCACTATTCCCAAAGCTTTAAACCATTTGATTGTGATTCAACTGAAAACCTTATTGTTCTGGTTCACATAAGGTGATGGATGATGATTTGACAATAAGAATTACTATATACAGACCATCATTTTTATTCAGCTATTTGTAGGTAAAAAAAATTTCAGGCCCATAGAATTTGACTGCTACTTGACATATTACTTAGAAAGGATTTTACTTGAACTGAAACTCTGTTGGTGTTGTTGATGTTCTTCTATCCAAATTTGAGGCAAATCTTTTAAACCTGTATCTCAGTTAGAGGAGAAATATACCACTGTATTCACCACCTTGCAAGTATCAGTAATAATATCCATTCTGCAGAATGACATATTAACCTATATAAATAATCTTTACATGTGTTATGCTTTACAGGTTTTCAAAGTGCAACACTATAGTCATTCTTCCTTCACTTTACACTCAGTGGTTATTAGGTACTTCTGTAGACACAGATGCCCTGGGGTAGATTTATAGAAGCAAAGCAGCCCCTTTGACCACCATCAACCACTCACACAACAGTCATGCTAGGCAAGGTGGGTGCAAAGTAAGCGTGTTGCCTAACAATGGCAGAGCAACAGAACTTTGTTGAAGCAGTAATTGATTTTCCAACCTTCGGTTTGGTAGTTTCACCGAAAAATTTGTATTGAATATATCACTCTTATCAGTACAGCACAATAAAATACAGTTTAAACCATTTCAACCATTGTTGAATAGAATCATTAGTTGTGGCTTTCTGGGTCACCTGTTGTTACTTTATTTAGATATTTCTCATATTTTAAAGGCTTTTTTCTTTTTGGTGGGAGTGGCTTTGGTGAGTGAGGAGTGTCACGCAGGAGCAGGTTTTGCAGGTAGAAAAAACAGGTGCTATGTGCGTGAGTAGCACAACCTCTCAAGACAGCGAACAACACAGAGCAACACCACCACTGTAGTTTCATCTGAACTTAGCGGGTTTGAACAGCCCCTATTTTCAACAGTAGTGTCCCCTTGGTGCATGGTTAAGATGAGAGGACCCGGCAATGCAAAGAACCTCAAACGTAAAAGTGAAGGAGCGTGCTGTGTGTCTGTCGAACCAAAGTCAGACACTACTGGTCGTGGTCACGGACTCAAAAATGTCATCAGAGGGAAGAGACCAAGAGGTAGGCTAATATTTACAAAAATGCTTGCTTTGCTTAGCTTATTGTTGAATTTAAAGGTTCATTGTGTAGCTTTTCTGGCAGAGGGTCCATCAAATGCTTTTCACAATGGAGATGTTTTATTATTATTATTATTATTATTATTATTATTATGTCTGGATTGTTTCAGCTTATGTTATTAAACCTTTCTACTTTCACGGAGACCATCCCAGACCAAGTTACAAGGTCAGATCTGTGGAGAGGCAACCCGCTTAGTCAGAATGCCTGTTTTTCTAGGTATATTTTTGAGTAGTAAATCCATCTTTAATTCGATAGGTAGAGCTGTTTACATTTCACTCTACGGAGAAAACATCTGGCGGGCCCTCCACCAGAAAAGTTATTCAATGCTCCTTTAAGGATATGTTTTTTATTTCTGAAACTTTCACATCGCTATTTACGTTTCCTATAAGTGTTGTAAAACTCTAATAAAACATAGCTAGTTATTGACAATTGTTAATTTTTTTCCCCAGCTGGCAAACGGGGTGGAAGCTCCAATGATGGAAAAGTGTACCTTGGTGTGCGTGTGAAAATGACAGTGAGAGATATGTTGAAAAATGTCAGACTGGCTCAAGGCTGGGGACCTGAGCAGCTTCAGGTAAATCAAACATACTTTACCTGTCTGCGCCACTGACATTATTCACTTATGTAACATCAATAGCTCCAGTATTTTAGATTTGGGGGGGATTGTTTGATGTTTTTAACTAATCAGTTGTTTTTGCTTCCACATCACAGGATGCATTCAAGAAGAAAGGTCAGTAAAAGACTATTTTGTTGAGATGTTTTTTCTAACATTGTGTTTAGTGTATAATTCTCTGATCTGGTTTTAACTTTTCCACAGAAGAGCGTGTCAAAACTCGCTCAAGCCTTAGAGCATCCAAGGTAAGCAATAGAACAGGCCTGCAGTGCCAAAGACTTTCACAGGATAGACTGACAAGGTTAATGACATATGTACTATCTGCTCCGTTCAGAAACGATGCCCACCCAAAAGCCTGGAGGAACTGGCAATCATAGTGGAGGTTCTGGAGGAGGATCTCAAAACTCCACACACGAAAACATCTCTGTCTGACCCTCCTGCCTCTCCTGCCCTGACAGGTAATGACACATGAACAATTATGAAACCTGCTTTACCTGTTCTGATATGTCCTAAGGATCATGTAGGAACCATTTTGTACATTTGCTCAAGTGAAGTATGGGCTCTTGGTCACGAAACTCATTTTGGACTTAAGATTTGAACATGGTGATCTAAGATTTTTGGTTTTTTTGTAAGGTTCTCCTCTTGTGTTTCAGGATACAGCAGTGATGGTTCAATAATCCCCAGTCCCCAGCATCATATGAGCTACTCTCCCTGGGCAGACTATTACCAGGACCACCAGACCCTGTCCCCTGACTACCAGACCATGTCTCCAGAACATCAGACCCTGTCCCCCGACTACCAGACCATGTCTCCAGAACATCAGACCCTGTCCCCCGACTACCAGACCATGTCTCCAGAACATCAGACCCTGTCCCCCGACTACGTTCCCATGTCTCCAGAACATCAGACCCTGTCCCCCGACTACCAGGCTCTCTCCCCCGACTACCAGACCATGTCTCCGGACCACCAGGCCCTGTCCCCTGACCACATGTCCAGTGCCTTCATGGAGGAGGAGCACTGCCCTCAGAGCTGGAGCTTGGACAGCTCTGCCTTCTTCTGGACCCAGCTCCAGAAAGAGGAGATGGTCCTCAACAACATCTGTGATGCAGAGCTCCTGAATAAAGATGAACATGGCAGAAAGTAAGATTCATAAATAAGTAATATATTTAATTCAGAAATTAGACACCTCTCACACCTTAGACTCTCATCATGTCTCTCTTCCAGTTTGCTCCACAATGTGGTGTGTGTTGGGAAGAGGGCTCTGGCCTACGCCATTGCTAAAAGAATGGCTGGCATCAGCAGCTTGGACCTCAAAGACTCCTATGGAATGGTACAAAAACACACATTATTGTTATTATTGTAATTACTGTTAATACTGATTTTTTTCACAATTGTGTCTTTTTTCCAGACTGCTCTTCATTACGCTGCAAAGAACAACCACCACCTGATGGTGTGTGATCTGATCCAGCTGGGAGCAGGCATCAACGAGAGGAACAACATGGGCAAGTCCTGCCTCCACCTGAGTGCAGAGAAGGGCTACACGCAGGTTCTGGAGGTCAGAGCTTTCACGTGTAATTGTGTGATGATCAGTAGAGACATGTTTAACCAGGCATTTAAGAAGAGTGATTCTGTTAGCTCTCTGTCAGTGTCTCTTTAATCAGACACTCTGGACAAAACATCCATCTCCGAGTCAGTCTGAAAAGTATCTTTTTTTTTTTTTTTAGGTTTTTAAACAAATGATGACCGATGGCTACTTTGTTGATGTGGAAGCCACAGACAACTCAGGTATGTAAAAGTCCCTATGATAACACAAAAGTACATTTCATAGAGTAAGTGTCTTTAGTTGATATAATTATGCTGCAGGAATGAGCGTGTTGCAGTGTGCTGCTGTGGCTCTGAAGGCCACTGTGTGTGAGGGGGACAGCAGCTCTCCACTCAGCTCCAGACTCAACAGTCTGCGGAAAGAGCAGATGCTGGAGACACTGGAAATCCTGCTGCAGATGGGCAGTTACCTGCACTCTATGGTTTGTATTAGAACTCTTCTCAAAAAACAAAGGGATTGTGTTACTGTGTTTGTAGTTAGGCTTCTGAGAAGGATCTAGTCAATTTTTCCAGTACTCAGTATAGAGTTATTGTCAATAAGCTGTTACTACAACAAATATCCAGTTAGGCAAGCTTTAAGAGGGCTTGTTACATATTAAAGAAGATGTTTCGCAATCTTTGCTATTGATGTCACAAAAAGTTCTCTGCCAGAGAAGATTCGTAACTCATAATTACCTTGGATGAAATATGACATTTATGAGTTATTTAGACATCGCTGGTGTCAGTGTTAGTTCACTGGAACCTCTGGTCTTGCGACTTTAAAATAGTTGACGCTTCAGACACTGTAGGTCTCATTGAGGCTAATATAAACTAAATTCATATGAAGTTATAAAAAAATGTATTTTAACAGTGATCTTTTCTGTGTTGACAGGAGACTTGGGGGATACCTCACAGCTCCTAAAGGCCTTGCAGGGCTTTTTTTTTGCGACCCGACAGTAATGTTCTGTGTGTATTCAGCCTGACATCAGAGCAGAGCCCACAGTTATGGGCCTCTCTTGGTTTACTCAGGTCTGAAGTGTAAAGCATCTGTTGCTTTGTGTTTGGTAACAATATCTGACTTGCAATCAGATGTTGTATATGTAACCTGCACAAAAGCATTAGGTGCCCAATACCTGGTTTCCATGAAACTTCCTCAGTTTGTTACATTGGAGTAACAACATTATCTCTAGTAGTGAAGGAGATCCACTGTACAGTCTCTTGATAGCATTTCAGTTAATCTAATTTGTTTAAATACATTTAATTTGTTAACTGGTTATTTTGAAAGTTGTAAGGTTGTAAGATTAAGCCAAATACAGATCAGTTGTCAAAACCGTTCTGGCGAGAACGTGTGCACACTGTTGGAACCTTGACTTGAATATTGCTGAAACATGCTGTACTTTTAATAGAACCATTAATATAATAGGTCCATTATAAAGTACACAAGTCAACAGCCACTGGTGCAAAGATGGTACAAGTGGATCTTCAGGAGACATTATTCACTGTTGTATTATGAAGACATAGTAGCTTCACATATATAGTTTTTGTGGTGGTGGGATGTGTTTTGTTTTATTCTGATGAAATACAGTATATCACAAGACCATCTTTTGTTTTTATATATATGTCTGTGTGTGTTTATATCTATATATATCTATATCTATATATATCCGAGTTGTTTTTTTTATCTTTGTTTTGGGTTAATAGGTTTGTGGTCATTGTTGTCAATACAAACATGTTGTTTGAAAATAATAAACCATTGCTTGAATTTAAATGAATTTGTTGTAAATCTAGTTCACTCTTTAAACTAGGCGTGAGTCAGGTAGTCAGAAATGTAGAGCCATTTTAGATTGATTATGAAACCAACTGTATTTATGAAACATCTATGAATGTTAATTACAGATCAAGAACAGGCTTCAGGGACTTCGCCTGTAGCTGTTCTTACTTTTTAAGGTTGTCATTTAACTATCTGTTGACAGTTTGAGAATGTGTCCTTTTATTTGATTCTTTCTTAATGGTGTCATCCACAGTAGTGGGCTGCCACAATGGGGACTTCTCACCTGAACTATTAGAATTATTATAACACTCCATTTAATGTTGCTTTATTTGTACCTTAACTTTTGTGATGAATTCAACCATGAGAAACCAAAACACAGGATAGAATGATGATGACAGCTCTTAACCCTTCTTCAACAACGTTGTGTTGTATTTTTATTTTTAGTCAATACTAAAATAATTTAAATATTGTATAAAGTATAAGAAAGCAACATGACTAACCGTGGACATGGAGATCAACTCATATTTATTATTTACAATGTTTTAGATTTATCAGGGCAGATGCAGGTTCAAGATTATCACCACTATGTGTGGAGTGAATTAAGCTAAAGCACCACGACAGTGGAGTGCCAGCCTCAACTCTCCATTGAGAAGCTTTTTTTTTTTTAGCTTTTATTATATGCCAGTCTTCATGCTCACACAATTCATGTAGTCATATTTTAGAATTGCTGGACCTTTAGCTTTATTATAATACATATTTTAATATAATATGATAATAAACAAGACTGTTTGCTTGCCCTACCTAAATAAAGATTTCTTTGCGTCACAATCATAACACAACAACACACAGTGTTTTTGCTTCACACTGCCTTCGGCAACCTGAACCTTTCATTTGTTCATGTTGTGGAGCTACACCCATGATACACCCATGAACCTGATAAACCTAAACCGCAGGTTTGTGTGTCGTTTAATTAGATGAAGCCATTTATCCTGTATCACATGAAGCCTTCACTTCTGCATTCTGTTCAGTCTGTCATGTGCTTTCTTTTGATCTTTTTATTTGATTAAACTCATTCCATTATGGTATATGGAGCTTACAGATTAAAAAAAATAGCCTCTTGACTAATTCAGATTTTTTAATATTTTTTTTTTATTATATATATATTTTTTTATCATATTTAATCATGTGTTATGTTAATGTCCCCTTTCTGTTCCTACATGATAATAATGAAAACAGGCCAAGGGCCAGGTGCAACTTGCCCAGGTCTGTACAGCACTAGGAATGCAGTAAAACTTAAAAACCAGCATCTTCAGTAAAGAATTTACATTCTTGTTCCTTTTAGCTTTTTCTCACCGATTTTAAGATGGATGCCCTTCCTAACATTTTACCCTGGATACATCTTCACATGAAAACATGTAAATACAAAGATCTTATATTTCTGGCCCATTTTTGTCTCCATTTATTTAGACTTGGACTGATCTGATCCAGATTGAAATGTAGTTCTGCACATTATCAAGAGATTACTCTTGATGAAAGTGTTCAGAAACCTTTTGGATGTTCAAATGAAAACTTCACACTGATTGGTTGAAACATTTCAACGAAGTAACAAGTCGAAAAAACAAACTTTTGTTAAATCCAGTTGAGAGAAAAGCAAATGCGTCTTACACGTCAACAAATGCACAAAGTCCTTCTCTTTGCACATTTATTTACTAAATTGTCTGTGTGTCATTGTCACCATGTTTGGTTTGTTTTTTGTTTTTTGATCAGTATCACAAGAAATATACTACAACAACATAATTGACGGACTTCATTTGACAGAAATGTATTTGTTTTTTAAGTAAAATATAAATATATATATTATGTAATCTATAATATATATATATACACACACACACAAACCATTGTTTTCACACTTTTGATATAATGATTGTGATAAAAAACTCTTCCTTGAATATTGCATTTTCTTCTCATATCATGCAGCTTTATTTATAACCTTAAAAGGTGCATTGTTTAACTTTTCTGGGGGAGGATCTGTCAAATGCTTTTCTTCATGGAAATTATTATTGCTTTGTACAGAAAGTTTCACAGTATGGTATTACATTTTTCTACTGTCTTGGAGACCAAACCAGGCCAAGCTACGGGTGAGATCTGTGGAGAGGCTACCCCACTCACAGTCAAAATACCAGATTTTGTAGATATTTTTGAGCTATAAAACCACCTGTAATTGAATAAATGTAAGATATCTGTTTAATATCATACTATGGAACATTCCAAGCAAAGCAATGACATATCCACAGAAACAAGAAGGGGATGAACCCCCAACTGAAAAGTTAAACAGTGCACCTTTAAATGTAAAAATCACTTTAAATGTCAGTTTTTACAGTGTAGACAGTGTAGACAGTGTAGACTTCTTTAACATATTCGTGCGTACTCTTTCATCTGTACCCCGTGACCGCCCCCGCCCCGCCCTGACTCCCTGACTCCCTGCCTGCTCAGCCTGCTCTGCCTGTATAAGTGGGCTCATAATGAATTTAAAGCCGTCTTGCTGGCACTCGGCCTCCAACAGAGCTCCAGGCCATTGTGCAACAGCTAGCACCACCGCTCCAACTGTAGCCCACATTGCATCACATCTACCCCCATACCCCCAACTTTATGCAGCGCTGCCGTCTTCTTGTTTTTTAGCCAAGAGCTCTGCATAAGACCGCCACTCACATGAGATTCAAGACCAGAGCAAAATATGAATTCATACTGACCGCCAGTGGAAGGTACTACAGTGCTCCAAGATCCTACAGAAAGTTTAATTGCATATTTAAAATACACTCAACAATATTTCAGGTTAGAGAAACTGGAGAAAATATGATTTAATAATAGCCTAAATCCTTAAGAGGAGTGGAAGAAAATTATCAATATGTAGCTAAAATACAGTTTTTTATTCCTAACAAAAACACATGTACAAGTTGTAGTAGCAGACAAATCAAGCAAAAGTTTATTTTAGATATTATATTTTATTATTTAACTAATAATTGTTATATAACTTTTTTTTTTTTTGATGCTTCAGTCTCAAACATATCAAATCAAATAATAATAATAATTAGTGCTGTCATGCGATTAAAAAATTTTAGAGATTAATTAATTATGATCTGTAATTAATTAATCTAATTAATCTCTTTTTAATCTCACCTAAAAATTGCTGAGAAAAGCCTTCAATTTGAGGTATATTCATTTAAATTCATTATTACATTATTGTGGCAGATCAAAAGACTGATATAGAACAAAAAAAGTGACTTTATAAAGTCATTTATTGTTTAACAAATCTCTCCAAATTGGCTGTTGAGTCCAAGTCTCCATGAATAAGAAACTGTTTGCTGTAAAGTAGCAAAGACGAGGAAATCTGAACATAATAACTTTTGTCTACTTAAAGACAATAAAAAGTCCAGTCTTTCCCTAACCATATTAAAAATATTATTGATAGAGAAATGCTTTATATATGAGATCACTGGTTTTAGTCCTGGTTTAGACCTGGTTTAGACCTGCTTTAGTCCTACTTTAGTCCTAGTTTAGTCCTGGAATGGATTAATCCTGGTTTTAGTCCTGGTGTTAGTTCTGGTTTAGTCCTGGTTTAGTCCTGGTTTAGACCTGGTTTTAGTTCTGGTTTTAGTTCTGGTTTAGTCCTGGTTTAGACCTGGTTTTAGTTCTGGTTTTAGTTCTGGTTTAGTCCTGGTTTAATCCTGGATTAGATCTGGTTTAGACCTGGTTTTATTTCTGGTTTTAGTTCTGGTTTAGTCCTGGTTTAGTCCTGGTTTAGACCTGGTTTAGTCCTGGTTTAATCTTGGTTTAGTCCTGGTTTAGTCCTGGTTTTGACCTGGTTTAGTCCTGGTTTAGTCCTGGACTGGGTTAGTCCCGGTTTTAGTCTTGCTGTTAGTTCTGGTTTAGAGGTGCACAGGAGGAAGCGCGGTTTACGCAGCGTACGCCAGAAAACGTACGCGGCGGCGCGCGGGAGGACAGCAGTGTCCGCGCAGTAACTACAGAAGGAAACGTGGTCCGCGCGTTCTCAGGTTAATGATGATGATGAAGGTGTGTTTGTGTGTGTGTGTGTTTGTGTTTGTGTGTGTTTGTGTGTGTTTGTGTGCGTGTCCCCTCATGTGGCAGGTCACTATAGGACAGTAGTGCAGACATCATGAGTCTATGCAGGTTGTTTTCACCAGTGACATTTAAGTTGTAGGCGATTTTATATTTGTTATTTTCTTTTATATTTCACGTCGGGAGAATAATTTACAAGACACGAATGTGTTTTTACCTGTGCACTGCTGCCTCTGTTCTACTGGCTCTTCGACCTCGTCCACTGTGTGACTGACGCCGCCAACGTGAACATGATGTTCACATCGCTCTTACTGCGCGCGTTTTGTGTGGGTTTCCGGCAATGAGTGGAAAAAATTTACAAATGTGTTTTTTGTGTGTGTGTGTGTGTGTTGTTGTTGTCCCAACAACACATAAAAACAGATTTTATAATAAAGTAACTCGCATACAGAAACAGTAAAGTTAGAGATTAAAAATGAGATTAACGCAATTAAAAAACATAACGCGCTAAATGACTGTAATTAATTAATCGCAATTAACGCGATAATTTGACACCCCTAATAATAATATTTGTATAAATTGTCCAGATTTATTATACAATCAATTCTGCTTTGCTTTGGCACTGATGAAGTCTCTTTGACTTTGTGTTTCCAGTACCTGCATATTAATAATGTGAAGTTTATATAAAAGTTGTGGAGCTGATTATGACTTTGAGCAGACTTAACTCAAGGGCAAAGTACAATGTGTATTCCTCTCTGGGCAGTTTTTCCGATTTTCTTGTTCCCGCTCATTTTGGCAGGGGTGGTAATTCGATTTGTATTTCATACATTTTTACAAGAAGGAAAAAAAAAATCTATCTAGAACATACTTAAAATGCATTATGTATCTTTTTAGCGTGGGGGTTTGCTTGTTTCTTCAGTCATTCCATTGCTTGGCCTGAAATGTTCAACCGTATGGTATTCAACTTATCTGTCTCAATGGAGGTAAGTTTAATGCCATACTGTGTGAAAGCAACAACATCTCTATAGAGACAAGCAGCTGCTGAACTCTTCATCAGAAAAGCTGAAAGTTCAAGTTTTTGAGCTACAGTGGGCAGTACTTGTATCAATCAATCAGTGGATGAAAATGAGTGAGTAGTAATATAGTACCAGTAATAAAAGAACTAACGTTTTTATATTCTATTAAAGCTTTGCAGTTAGTCAAATTTTAAACACGATTCAGTCATTTCTAATTTAAGCATCAATATAGGTGGGTCTGTTTCGGTATCTCTCCTGTTAAGGTGAATGTGCGCTGTCTATCTCATTAATAAATTCTTAACAATTCTTTTAAATGAAGGTATCAGCAGCCAACATTTTATCAGTAAAAGCATGATGTTTGGAGTTAAGTTTAGTTAAACTGAAATGATTAAAAGTGTGCCTTATTTATGTACAGTGATATTAAAGAAAGCCTTTTTAATTAGTTTTAATAAGATGCATCAAATCAGAATTTAAAAATCATTTATTGGCCATGTATATCATTATATTTATCTTATTTATATTATATATTCTTCATCACTCATTTCTGTGTTTTTAGACTTTTACACACCTGATGTTGAATGGTCTTATACTCTGAACTGTTTTTGTTTAGCAGAGAACTATAGGCCTGTCATGTAATTACTATATTGACTTATCATTCAGTACATGATAGATGAAACAATCATTTCTGGGTATCAGTATTTATCATGAGTTCTTTTTCTTTGCACTAGTGAGAAAATTGTCTTTGTTTTTCTGTGCTACAATGAGATTTGAGTCATAGAAGGTTGAATTTTGAGCTTCTATGAGTCATTATAGACACAAATTAATGACTTAAGTGTTGTATTCTGTTATTTATTTACTACAGCTCATGTTTAACAATATTGTACATTTAGAATATTTCTTTGTGGATAATTCTGCTTTATGGTCTGGTTTCAGTATTATCATTTATCGTCTATATTGACTTCAGCAATATATCACGCTTTAAAATGTGATATCGTGACAAGTCTACAGAGAACACATAGGTTTAAATTTTGTTGGTTGTTTTAACATTTAATTTTGAGCATTTCTTTGAGAATTTGCAGGTCTGCACAAGTCAGACCTCTCAGATAGCTGCACTCACCCAGAACTGGTCAAACCACATCTGAGAAGTTTATGAGACACGCATCGCCATACTGAGTGTCAGAAAGACTCACAAGGCTCAAATCTTCACTAAAAACATGTAAACCATAACAGTCAGTTACTGCAGAAAGCCTTTTGTGTCTTCTTGTGACTACTGCGACATATGTCAAGCAAATATGTTCAGCTTTTGATGTGTGAATGTTTTTTGAAGGAGTCGGCTCTTTTGAACAATGACTAATTGGAACTGGAGTTTGTAATAATAATAATAATTAATACATAACACACAGTGCAAACAAGGACAAACAGAAGAAACAAAAAAGTTAATGAAAGGTGATTTTAAAGAGATGGGAGATGAGTTTGAACAATTTAAACTAATATTAGCCTTGGCCATTTCTCTCTTTGATTAACTGATTTGATTGATTTGTTGTTAAAATTTGTTCTCTTTTAATTCTCTTTGAAATGAATGGATCCAAAAGATTTTGCTCCCATAAAATAACCAAAGGTCCTATCTCTAGGTTTTGGTTTAAACTGTTTTTGTTAAATCTTAAAGCATCAAATGTGCAGAGTGACATTTTGAATCCATATTTTAAGTACAGTTATAATTCTTAGTTTTGTAGTCAGTGTAGTAACAACCCTCTGGGCTTTTTGTCTCTCCTGAGTTTGGAGGGACACCTGGTGGCAAGTTAGAGCTGATTTACTTTTTCTGTGTAAATAACTCCTCTCATTTAAGATATCAGAGCGAATCTCCATAACATTCCCTCAGTATGATCTGGGAACACAAACTGTGTATAACACAGTCTTCATGCCCTGCTTGTCTTTAATGTGGTATAATGCAATAGTAAAAAATGAATGAATGAATGAATGAATGAAGCAACCTGTCCAAAAGAACCAGTGTGGATTGCAATGACTGGTCAAATAGGGTTAATTTCAGAAAAAATAAAAATAAAAATTGCAAGGGACTTGCTGTAATTAAGCTTGTGGTACCATATTTCAGTTTCATAAAAAAAAAACTAAAAAAAAACTTGAATTACAAGCAGCCAATCCAAAAAGATCTTGCATACATTGTTAAAAGTGGTAACTGATTTCAGAAGGAAATATTATTAATATTATTAAGGGAATTATACTTATTATAGAATTTTTCAACATTGTGTTTTTTTAACTTTATTTTTTGTCTTTATTGACTAAGCAATTACCATATATATGTATTTAGTGTATATTTTATTAAAAAATAAAATATCAAAAAACAATATAATAAAAATGCATAGCCAGAGATATTTAATTGAATAAAATTATTTATTGTACACTTAGAAACATCAGGTAACACTGGACCCTGTGATGGCAGTACAGGTGTGTTATTACAGTGCGTCTGAATCGAGCAACAGTAAACAGAAGTAAGAACAAATCGATACTTGTAATGGCCTTTTCTGTCAACCTCGTACTATTTTATTCTGATCGTTCGCTTGCATCTCTCTCCTCCCTCTGCAACGATTGTGTGATATTGCCTCATGCGCTTGAAAGGCCTTAAGACTGCTAGGAGAGATACCAAGAGATTTCACACAGTCAAACACACGCCCAGAGCAGGCTGGGGGTTGAGATAGGCAACCAGCCCATGTTTGTGTTGATTGTTGTTGGAGCTTGATACCGCCTGGCTGCTCCCTCGGGATCTATCAGGCACAGACAAATCACCCAAATAAATAAACAAAGAGCGATTTGTGTTTTCTTCAGTCTTTTCTCCAATCATACTACAGTGCTTAAATTTGACACCAGTGTGGTTGTTTTGGAGCACAAATGTCAATCATAGTTTCCCCTTCATGTGCTTCCTCCTAGTGGTGGATGTGGGGGAAGCACTTGGACGTTTGAGACTGCATTGCAGCCAAAAATAAGGGCTGGACTGTTTCGGTTTGAGGGCAGGGGCAGATTTTGTGGGAGGGGCAAAGGGGTATGTTCTAGTTTATGTAATCAAGAGAGCTAAGCATTTGAATGAATGAAAACATGCAGTGAAAAACAGTACCAAGGCGGCAGATAATAATGACAGTGGTTTATTTGGCTAAAATTTACCTGATGATGAAAATCTCCTGATATCAACATGAATTATTAAAACAACCTGAATTTTCAACAAATTTAACAAAAAATAAATAAATCAAAAAGAAAAGTCCCAAAAGTCGTACCCAACAACGATTTATTGTTGCGTCAACAGGTGATTGTTTGTTCGCAAATACAGCCAATAGAGAGCAACAGAAAGAGAGGAAAGGGTAGAGGGGGAAAGAAAACAGCCAGAGGATGTTTGTAAAGACCAAAACTTAACCTGAGCATGGGTTGCACTGGCGAGGCGGCACAGGGCAGAGTCCTCAGCCGATGAGAAGGGACAAATCAGTGGATTCTGAAGCCATGCATTTAACAAAATATTGCCTTCAAATAACACTCACACATGCTTTTCCAAAATCAAACATGCATCGCAGTGGGGTAAAGAAGTGTAAATACATTTTAGCAATACAAATTTCAAAATGTCTTTGATAATGAATATTTGAAGAGCATGTCGCACACTTTTCCATCAATCCCTTTATTTAACGGATTGTTTTAAGCAAATGATAAATGAACATTAATATTATTGTTAAGCAAAAATAAAATAGAAAATAAAATATATATTTAATATGGATCTGCTTCAATGCTGCCGATGTGTGTCACAAAAACCACAAGCAAATTCAATGACTACTACTATTTCAAAGAGCGTTTTGTAAACGATCATCGCAAGCGTCAGTCTTTCACAAGGCTGTGAGTGCAGTTCGGATCACAGTGGTCACGGACAAGTTCAGCATCCTTCAAAGCCACTTCACTTGGGCTTGTAAATTGTTCATCTTCCCTTTTTCAAACTTTTAAAAGTTTTTGTTGGAAATTGGTGTTTTGGTCATCCTCTTTTGTGTGTTTTATTTTGAAAAGAACTACCAAAATCATGCAACTACCACTTCGCTTGTGTGTGAGACCAGTTGGTAGATTTTTTTCCCTCTTCTGGACTGGTGGAGCTTGAGGTGCAGTTTAAACAGTGCCGTCCTGCTTAAGCCTCTGGCTGCGAGCCTTGTACACCTCAATGAGTAAATCTTTGACGTACTGGATTTCTCGCTCCACTGACTCTGCCTTGTCACGCAGCTCGCGGTTCTGTCCTTCAAGTCCGTGAAGCTCCTCCTCCAGAGAGTCTAGCTCCGCCCTCTTTCGCAGCCTGTACCTGCAACAACAGCGATCACAGTTCAGTTCTGCTGCCTTGCATTTTACTAATTAGTTGAGTGAGCGTGACCTTTGAGATGACGACACATAGTGATCAGTATTCTCCTGACGTGACGAAAATATTTCTCAATGACTTCAACATTTTTAACCTTTCTATTTTACATGACCTCACTGTTTCTGACGCATTTCACATCTTTAACACATATGAACACAGGAAACAAAAACTGACAAGACTATATAAATGTTAAGGTGGGGCAGACTTTGGCCAGCTGTGAGGGACTTTCCATGCACTTCTACACTCAACTTTAAACACAGATGGAGACTGTAGGGGAATGCACATTTGGGACTATGGCACCAAATCTGAACAAAGTTGTGAGAGTTTGTGTTATAAGAAGTTACCTGTGAGCAGCAGTTTTGTTCTGGTCTCTCTTCTTTTGCTTCCTCTCCCCACAGCCAGATTCCATACCAGATGCGCCCATGCCCAGAGATGGTTTGATGTGGCAGGGCTCATCCTTTAGCCTTTGAGTGGGGCGATGGATTGGAGCCCCCAGCAGCGGCCCCTCGCTCTCCACTCTGGACAGACATTCGTAGCTTTGGTCTGCAAGGCATTCTGGGTAGAGGTAGTGGCCATGTTGGGGCTCTACAGCCTGTGCTTGTGTGGGAGCGTCCAGGTCGCCTATAAAGCTATGGTAAGGCTCAGTGCTACCCATGGACTGCTGGAAGTAGCTGTCACCGGGCATCATTGTCTCTTGGGGGATACCTCCAGAAAGTCCTCCATCTTTGCTGCAATGCAAGACCTCCAAGCCTGTGCTGTCATAACTTACATTAACCTTCAAATTGTGCATCAACTGTCCCTCTCGTTTGTGGTGGCTGTCGTACGAACCACCAAAAAACCCTCTTGCGATCTCCTCACTACAAAACATCCCCTCTGAGAAGCAGTAGCTCTCCTCCTCCTTCAGCGATAAAGCACATTCTCTCACCTTCTTGACGCTGCCGAAGCTGTTCTTACTGACCGTCTTGAGCGTGGAGTAGTGGTTGACGGACAGCTCTGTGCTTCCTGAGTAACTGCCCCTGGAGCCCCACGAGTCCAGTCCCACTTCGTCCACTTTCACAGTCTCACTGATGATTCGCCGCCCGTTGTTGTGGTGGTAGCGGTGGTGGTAGTTGTATGGTGCGGGTCGGGCGATTTTGGTTCTGCTGATGGGACCGCCACAAAAGCTGGCCAAGTCCAGTTCCCCTGTTGCCAAGGTAACAACTACAGGGCTGGGTTCTGATTGGCTGGTCCCATATGAGCCATAAGGTAACTGATAATAAGATTGGGAGCCCATGGCTGGAGCACCCTTGTCACATTTTGAGGATTTGTCCAACTTGTTGGTTGTGGCTGTGGACTCGGAGCGGAAGTAGTCCTCCAGCTGAGCCAGCTCTTCCTGCAGCAGTGAGGTCATGACCTCCAGGTCTGAGGGCACCTTGACATCATGTTCTAAAGGAGACGGAGGAAGCGATGAGCTCGGAGAAGACTCGGTCGTCGACACAAACGAAGACAAATCAACTTTTTCCGTCATCCAATCTGAGTGACCATCACCTGAAAAAGGACAAAAAAAAACAAAAAAACAGCAACACACAAATCAGCAAAGCAAACCAAATTTACGACAAAATAAAAAATATATATATATGTGTGTAAAAAATCCTAAATCACTAATTGAGGTGGTAAATGCCAAAATGTAATTAAAAACCAAGCAACAACTCCAAATAATCCAAGTGAACAACTAACCGATCATCTGAAAATGATTGAACAGCATCGTCTGCATTCGATAAATATCCACTTAGCTGTACTCACTGTACGACATTAGCCCCGTGCTGCACTGCGGCTCCAACCTCGGGTTGTGGAAAAATAAAAAACGATCTCGCCAAAACTCACCAATTAAGTGCTGCCGCTCTGCTGGCTCCGCCCCCACCCCGGCCCGTGATTGGCTAGGGTTAGCCTGTTGGAGAAGGGGAGCGCCGCGCTCGCCCGTGGAAATGGGAGGAATTTTGCGAAGGATCAATGCCGCCATTATGCCGTCTGCTTCGATCGAATTGTTCAAAAGCACAAATCGTGCACTGCGTCGACAAATGACTTTCGGAAACACCTGAAGACCTGAAAAAAGAATAATGTTTAAAAGTTAATACTTTTTCTGGGAAAAAAAAAAAAAAAAAAAAAAAAAAAAAATCAAATATGCAACAAAAAATTTGAAATTTTAAAATTTTTTACAGATTTCAAAAAAACACTATTAAATAAATAAATAATAATAATAAATACACTAATAACATTTTTTATTAAAAAATTTAAGTCAATGCCAAAAAACATTTTGGAACAATTGATTATTACAAAATGGCATAATGATTATGAAAATGAAAACTATAAATCTACTAATAAACTATAAATAAAAATGTATATGAATTGTACTTATAGCCTGGTGGTAATAATAATATAATTGATAAATCATCAAAGCTGCTTCAATAAATCAGGGTTATAAAATTATAAGGGCTAGACACTTACACGCGCATTATATAGCCTACACGTTTTCACACTGAGAAAATGTCAATAAAAACAACACACACAAAACAAGTGAAAAAACAGGACAGAACTAAAATAATAAATGAAATAAAGACTATAAATTAAAGGATGACTTTATCCTAAAATGAACAATGTACAGTTTATGATTTTCTGAACTTTTCTGTCGCTTCAAAACAAGACGCACTTACCCCATAGTTGTGAGAGAGTTGTCAAAGTGCGTTGCGGAGGCAAAGCACGCGGAACCTTGAGTCGATCTGTTAGACAGTCACAAATTAAAATGCCATTTTCCCTTTAGGAAGCCAGGGAGTCCTCAGCAAGTGTTATTTCGGCGAACACAGACTTGGAGGCACAAAGTTTTTAAATCCGCTACTTCTCCAACTCCTAATGCCGGGCCGGATCACCACAGATGGGATTAATCCGCGGTTTACAGGGTTCAACCGGTCCTTACGTCATGAACCTGGGGACTTTCCCGTTTCCACAGCCTGCCGCTTCTCCAGTCTGCTCTGAATTATTCTACAGGAAAATATACCTATGCGTAATACTTACTTTTGTCTTTTACGCACAGAACATTATTCAAAAATGTAACTGAGGCAATGTAAGAAAGTTTGTGACTGAGAGAAAATGTCTAAACAGTATCCATGCGCATTGAAACTAAATAAAACGTAGCCAAAGACAATTCAATAATCCGCATAAAGTGAAAAAGTAAACGTCCCGCTGCTAATCGTGTCTTTAAAGCCTATATTTTGACGGCACAGTATGATGAGCACTAATTTACGATCCTTCTCAGCGGAAGGATATCGTGTTGGCGTTGAAGGAGAGAAACTTTAGTTGCAGCCCTGTTGCATCAGATCCGCAGGGGATTCGCTGAGCGCTGTTACAATGTGGCCACACCATTGGTTTATCCGGGAACTTTTCTATTTCTATTGGCCTACGATCACTCTTTTACTGAGTGCTAATCATTACTGTAAGGACCGACCTGGGACCTGCTCACGTATATGACACCTGCTGGTGGTGCAGCCCATGGCCCCGGTAAAGAAATCACAGGGCCACCACCCAGATGCATTATGGGATAGCTGCTGTAAATAAATCACCTAGGCTATTTTAGGACGTCACCTGTTACACACGGCCACCTGTTTCTACTTTCGTTTCAGCAAATATATTTGTATGAATTGAATGTTTTAAAGATCTTGAGCCTTGAGCCTTATGCAGTTAAATTTGTACCCAGATTGTGTTGTGGTAAAATCTGACCATGCCCTTGTATTGTTATACTGTAGTACAGTATTAGGCCTGCTGATATTATAAACGCAAAGCAGATACCAAGATATAAAAACAAAAAAGTTACACTGTGCTCCTTTAAGAGAAAAGTAGCCTATAATGTATTAAAACAGGTGGATGTATTAATTTAACCAGTGATTTACATTCACTTTAGAATTAGATAGATACACCTTATTTATGCTATTTTATCATAACATTGTGATAAAACATTACTCAACCCTACCAAATTGTCTAAAAATTTTTCTGATTATAGAAAATGTTAACTCATATTAACAAACTCATATCATCGTTGTAAAATATTGAGTGAATATACATTTTTAAATTGGGAAAACATAATCATTATTCTTGTTTATAAACCCCTCCGTGATCTTGCTCCACCCTCATTAAAAGAGTTCATACAGTTGAATTTAAATACGCTCAACCATCAAGCAGAGGAAATTGTAAAATCCCATATAGAAAGACTTCATTTGGACAGTCAGCCTTTTCACTTTGCGCCACACTCTCAAGGAATCTGGTCCCCACCGAAATAAGGAACATGACCTCTATCCATGGCTTTAGTAGATGTGATACAGTGATTTCTGGACAATCAGACATGTGAACATAACAAATATGTGTTTTAACACATTTTAACACATAGAAAATCTCTCTGTCTTGTTGTGTGATTGTGATTTGTGTCTATTGTCTTTAATGTATATGCAGTGTGTGCTTTTAGCATGTTCTAATTTTACTAATATGACTACAGTAATATTCACTCATCTTAATGTCTTTTGTCATGTGTGATGGACTAAATGTTATTGTACCTATGACCTGTTTTTTGTCTTGCCATCAACCTGCCGAGGGGACTATGGATGAAAATTAGCCTGCACGGCACATTTACTTGCTGTACTAACACATGCTGATTAATGTGATTAATGTGCACTGTCCCATGTTTAATACATAAACATAAACAAGGAAGTGGTACGCCTACACACATTGTCGTGTGAATGTGTATACTGTAAAAATCTTAAAGAAAAAAAACAATAAGAATACTTACAATAGAAAAGAATAACTGTAGTATAACACAATAAAAAAAAACAACTTCAAAATCAAAGCATATTATTTGATGACATGATAGTCTCTTTAACTCTTTAACTTTTCATTTGAACTACTTTATTATTTCTTATAGTAATTATTTTATTGTTGAACTCTTTGATGAGTAGACACAAAAATACTTGAATAGCAATGAGCTGGTGTTGGGCTTTGATGCCAGTTGAACAGATGGCGCTCACTGATCAGCAGTTTGCATACGTCCCATCATGCATCTGTGTTTCCTGCCAGCAGATCCAGTAGACCAGGAATTCCCAATATATTTTATTGGTATTGCAATATCAGCAAACAACATCACAGAATGTACTTCACAATTATATGAAACTTATTTTGAGAAAGGTTATGTGGTCTTATATACTGCAGTTTAAAAATTCAAAGTTCTTTTAAAGGTCCTATATTACACAAAATGGATTCTTGTGAGCTTTAGGCCATGTAGTTACCTCATCAAAAACATACAACATACAAAAATATACCCGAAGTTGTGTTTTGTTTCATTCACTCATGTTTGAGAAAATGTGTTGTCATCAAGGTTTCAAGTGGACAGCGTTTACCTTTAGTTCAGTAGAATTCTTGGCTGAAATGATCTAAATGATTGTAGTGAAGGTGCAAGAAGTGGAGTGGAGCATTTCCTGTATTACCACTTGACATCACAAGGTGGAACAGAGTGTTTTCTGTTTAAGATAAGAACTCAGCCTAAACATGCAGGGTTTTAGTGTTAAACATGTGTGAATGAAACAAAACACAACTCCAGGTATGTTTATGATGACGAAACATAAATCAGAAAGTAGCGTATTATGGGCCCTTTAAATTGTATTACTGATTCCCTTTTCATGCACTGCACCAATGGCCTCTCCAACCACGATCACTCACACACTTATATATATATATATATATATATATATATATGTATATATATATTATTTATTTATTTATTTTTTTTAATAGCGGTTTCACCTATAGTTGCCTGTTTAAGACTATACATTTTCCATTTTATAAAACAGAAAAAACAAACAAGACTTTTATTATGCAGAACCTATGAAACAGGCTTTTTATTTCTATGGGAGATGTGCCTCTGTGAGAATGATTCTTGTACATGGTAGCTCACACAGCATCCTCTGAGAATATTATGGTTTGAGAAATGTGTGTTTATGATGTCCCAGTAGGTTTCAGGGTTTTGTAAAACAGTTTTGGCAAAATTGCTGAAGAAAATTGCCTGTGACAGTTTGAAATGCTGTAGTTTCAACAGTATTTATCAGAGAGTCTCAGATGACTTTAATGAAAGACATTGTTTTCTTTAAAAGTTTACCAAACATGATAAATGAAATCATGATCTGATCAAGGGCTGATAACTGTGATACCAGTGAAACTCAGACAACTCAATCATTCCAAAATATAGAGCTTTGATAAAGATTTTGAAGGGTTCTGGCCCATGGGCTAAAGAATTTTAATCATACATGTTACACAGTTTTAGACCAGTAAGTTTAGACCGAAATATCTCCAGAACAACAGTTTTTGATATGATAAATTTTCCTGTATCTCCCACCTCTACACCAAATATTGACCAATGTATTGATATAACATTGTTCAGCATAGTTACTGTTTTCCTCTGTGTTTTGTGCAGCCCTGTCCAGTTTTGCATCATGTGTCTTAATCCCCGCGTGCTGTCATTGTTTGTCCAGCTCTGTCCCGAGGCTCTTGTTTGGACTGACGGGTGACACCTGACTGGTGACACCTGACAGGGGACGTGTGGAGGTCAGACAGGACAGGTCTTATTAGTAAAACCTGGAGAGCCTCCCTCGGTCTGCATCTGCAAGTGGGTAATATAAGTTTTCTTTTGACAAGTTGGTTACAGAATGAGCTGCATTTGGTCACATTATTTTTAATTGTACATCAAAATGACTACATTAATTTCAAAGTAACACGTAACGCTTTTGTCTCATTGTAAAAACTTGAATTATTTAATTTAATTTTTGAATACATTTATGTTTGTCTGTTTTTAACAGTTTTAATGTTCTGTAGTTTTGAGATTAGTTTGCAAATGTAGAGTGCGTTATAAATAAAATGCATAATAATAATAAAAATAATAATAATAGTAATAACTCTTTGGTTACTCATGCACTGTTATGATCACAGAGTATATCTGTTTCAAAGCATACTGTTCTTCACATGTATCGTTGTTTTCGGGTTACAAGAAAGTTTAGAATGTGGCCAAAAGAATACTTTTGGCCACATACTTTCCCCCCACATTAGATTGTAAATATTGCAATTTTAATCATTATTAGTTTTTAAATTAAATGAATATCTAGCTAGTCACCCTCAGTCTTCTTGCTTAAATCAGAGCTGATGGAGGTCTGCTTGTTGCTATAGTGACAGGCGACGCAGACTCAGCTCTGTCCAAAAACATGTTTTGGCAGTGCACCGGGTTAAGGGCCGCCTCTTTGTTTACACTGTTATTCTGCAGAGAGGGCACTTTTCCTCTTCATAGCATTAATACGTAATCGTCTGAGGTCACAACATCATTAAGAATGGAAATACGAGCAATATAAACACTGAACAAGAACTTATAACGAGTTATGAATGCAACCACAAGGAGTAACAAGACGGTGTATTTCACGCCTGTTCCAAACCCATACACCCAAGTGTATGAGGAATGGCATTTGGCTTAAAGTAACAGCTTAATTATTGGCTACTCAGAAATACACAAAACAGAAAAAGCCACATTTATTTCAGAACAGTTTGCTTTCTTATTCGTGTATAAATATGAACAAAACTATTTTGTGTTCACATCATATCAATCATATTTAATCAATTTAGGAATACTAAAATCAAAATGCACATACATTAATACATTAATATTTATGCCTCATTTAACACCAGTCCCTTGTTATTTTTGCTTCTTATTTTGAATTTATTATTACCGTTTATATTTTTACTCTTTGTTATTATAATATATTGTGAGCTACTTTGTCCAAATAATTTCCCTTATGGATCAATAATGTTTGTCTGAATTAATCCATAAAACATGGTATAAATCATGCAACCAAATTACTCAGATAAATTCAAAGAAAATAATTTAAAACATTTGCTTTTATAAATGACACATTTTTTTTTTATTCCTTAAACTGTACGTACATATTTAGCGTCGACTCTGCAGTATTTCAGCGTGCTGTGCAATCTTGAATTGACTATGAATTTGTTTAGGCTCCTTTACCATGGCTGAGCCCGATGATTGCCTGCTTTTTGTGCAGTATTGCCCTCCATCTGTCCTGTTTGTACTGTACGCGCCAACCAGGACTCCTCTCCACTCCAGCGGTGCATCGTGGGATGGGAAGAGCCTGCTTCTTCAAAGACGCGGGCGGC